TTCTGGTAGGTCCTTGACCATCGGCACGCTCACTTTCATAGACATGGTCACGGCGATTGATGACTTTGTGAACTTTGGAGTTCCACTTGTCTTGGATCTTTGCTCACCCTGTAGGGTGGCTATGAGCGAACACTCTCCAATTGGGATGTCGTCCGGTTTGACATTTCTGTGGTGGTCAAACTGCTACTTTCGCAGTGTAGGTTCTGCTCTAAGCTTGTCTTGCGTTTGCTCATGAGCATCACATAAATGATTCTGGTGAAGGGTAAGCCACTCTCCATTGTCACTTGGTGGATCTTCTTGTCCATTAGGAAGAAGGAGATCAACAGGCTCTTAGGGTGATCAGTGCCAGACAACAGATAGTGTGGGGAATATCCTGTAGAGGAATGTGGTGTTGCATTGTATGCATAACACAGTTTCTTTAGGTGCTCAGGCCACTTCCTCTTCTTCTCAGGTGGTAGGGTGCATAGAAGGTCACGAACGGTGGGATCGAACCGCTCACACTGTCCATTTCCCACAGGGTAGTACGGTGAACTTCAGGATTTCTTAATACCATACATCTGGCACAGTTCTTTGACCACTTCAGCCTCAAAACATCTGCCTTGTTCAGAATGAATTCTCTTAGGCCCACCATACACAAGGAACCATTCACGTACTAGGGTTTTGACTACGGTGCTGGCTCTCTGGTCTCTAGTTGTACCACAGTGAATTTAGTGAATATGTCAGTTAATACTGACACATTCTCTCTGCCATCTGATGCCGGCTCAAGTAGGGTGAAGTCCATTGCTAGTACTTCCGAGGATTTGGATGCAGTGATGCTGGTCACTGGGGTCTTGACGGTTAAGTAGGGTCCTTTCGCTACAACACAACGCTCACATTCTGATAGGTACTTTTTCACATCGTTGTGCAATCCAGACCACCAGCAATGTTCACGTACCAGCTGCTCTGTCCTTTCCAATCCTTGGTGGCCACCTTGGTCATGGACACCCTTGAGAAGTTCGTCATGGAGACTAGCAGGAAGGAGCAGCTGTTGGTGCTTGTTACCATGGCTGTCAGCATTACCACTGTAGAGGACTCACTTTATCTCTTCAATACGGTCCCATTGGTTCAAGAGCTGTTTCGCTTCACGTGTCTGAGCTTTCATCTCTCTAGCTGAAGGCTTACGACCAATGTTACGGAAGTGTATCAGACACCTAATGGTAGGGTCCGCCATTTGCAACCTTACTAACTGGTTTGTGTCCCACGATGGTAATATACTGGTACTGGGGAGAGGGTCTATTGTTGGCTGCTCCATTGTTGACTGGGGTAGTAGCTCTTGCAGAGACTCGGGTACAGCAGTGGTATTGAGGGAAGATGCCAAGGCTGCTTCTACTTGACCAATGTCACTCTCTTCATGCTTCTCCCGGTTAAGGTGGCTGAGTGTATTGGCATTCATGTTCTGCTTTCCTGCACGGTACTTGATGTTGAAATTGAAATTAGCTAGTTTTGGACACCCATCGCTGCTCAACAGCCTTCAGCTTGCTCTTTGACTGCAGGTAAGTCAGGGGGTTGTTGTCTGTCAACACTGTGAAGGTAGAGGATATCAGGTACTCTCAGAACATTTCTGTAACGGCCCACTTGAGAGCTAGGAGTTCCAACTTTCTGGAAGAGTAGTTCTCCATGTTCCTCTCAGCTCCTCATAGGGCTCGGCTTGCATATGCTATTGGTCTGACATGACCGTCCTCCTGGGATAAGTCAGCTCCTAATCCATCGTTGGAGGCATCCACTTCTACAATGAACGGCTTGGTGTAAATAGGGTAGGCTAACACTGGTGGGCTGGTCAGTACTTGCTTAAGGCTGTCAAATGCTTCCTGGCATTCTTGGTTCCAATTGTTCTCAACAGGTTTGTTTCTCTGTCTACCATGTTTGCCACCTTCATACAGCTTTGAGACCAGTTCGTGCAGCGGTTTTGCTCGCTGAGCAAAATGCGGGACAAATCTGCGGTAGTACGAAGCAAAGCCCAGGAAGGACCTCAGATCCTTAAGAGCACTTGGCTTGGGCCAGTTTTTCACCACTTCTGTCTTGTCAGGATCAGTGGCGACGCCATCAGCAGATACCACATGTCCCAGGTAGTTAACTTTAGGACAGAAGAACTGACACTTCTTAGGCTCGAGCTTAAGTCCATGCTCACGCAATTTCTTCAGTACGATTTCCAATCGCCTGAGGTGCTCTGGGATGTCTTGGCTGAAGACAATGATGTCGTCTAAGTACACGATCAAGATCTGCAACACTTCATCCCTAAAGACAGTCTGCATCAGTCTTTGGAAAAGGCCAGGGGCTCCTGCGAGACCGAATGGCATCCGGTTGTACTCGAACAGACCAAAGGGTGTAGTGAACGCTGTCTTGTGGCGATCAGCTGGGTTGACTTCTACCTGGTTGTATGCAGAGGCCAGATCCATGGTTGAAAAGTACTTAGCTCCTCCTAGTACATCCAGACTCTCATCAATTCTCGGCAGGGGATAGGCATCTCGTCTTGCCTTGGCGTTCAGGAGGCGGTAGTCCACGCACATACGCAGGGCACCATTCTTTTTCCGGACTAGCACAATAGGGGAGGCGTAACTGCTCTGGCTTGGTGCAATTACTTTTTTGTCGAGTAACTCTTGCAGGTGTTTCTTGACCTACATCAGGTGATTTGGTGGGATCCGTCTATGGCGCTGGGCCACTGGGATATCATCACTCGTAGGGATACTGTGCTGAATGGTCGTAGTACGGCCTAGATCCTCTCCATCTCTGGCAAATACGTCTGCATAGGAGATGAAGATTCTTAGTGCCTCTTGCTTCTCATCTGGCGTTCCAGGAAAGTCTGTCAAGGTTATTCCAGCAGGGAGATCTTGCTCTCTCTGGGGGGTTGCAGAGTGGACAGGCCCCGGTGATGGAAATTCCTGGCTCTCTGCTCCCAGGGGGCATGATATGATCACCTCGTTACACTGCACATCAAGCTCTAACTGGCTCCACTGGTCACTGTCACTGCACTATGTACTGTACCAAGGCATGTTCGTGGCTTTAGCCAGACATCTCTTGAAGTGGGGCTCACTACTTGGATGTGGAAACACGTCTTGGAGGCATTGACCAGGGTATTGGCGACCTGGATGTTACCTGGTACTGGCACACTGAGGGGTTCGACCACGGCATTAGGACCACAGACTGGACCAGTAACAGCTACATTTGCCAATGAGTTTGGGGGAATCATAACGGGGTAGCTTCCAGCTACACGAACAAAAACAGAGGTAACGGCTTCTGATGTCCTAGGTTCACTATCAGTCCTTTGTTGGAGCAGGGTACTAAACTTGGGGATCTGCGCCAGAACATTAGTTCCAAGGAGTCCAGGTACGTCCTTTCTCTGTTGGGAAGTGGCTGGGGTGTCTTTTAGGACAAGTACCCCGCAGTTGGGTACTTTCACCCCATCAACCTCTATCTCCAGTTCCAGGTAGCCCACGTACGGAATCTCGAGCCCGTTAGCAGCACGCAGGGTTAGCATTTGCTTCCGTCTTTTCACGCGCCCACAGGTTGGCTGGAGCTTCTTCCTATAAAAGTCTTCGGTAACGAAGGACACCATTGAACCAGAGTCTACTACACAGAGCACGTCAACACCACCAAGTTTTGCTTGGACCGTTGGGGTACCACCAACCATGTGTATTGGCGTGCGGTTGTCTTCTAGAGGTTTTGAGCCACCACTCTTCCCCTCCACGGCATGGCTCACTGCCGTGGAGTCTTCTCGTTTAACGGTGGCG